AAATCCCATAGTTAGTGAATAGCAACACCAGATCTGGAAACCAGATCTGTTTGATTGAAAAGTTCGTGCCCATTGCATTATACCTTCAACGTAATTGCCTGTACCTGTAGGAGCAAACATAGAAGTCTCTTCGTTCATCCAGGTCTGCCGTTTTCAGAAGGTATTGTTAGACCATGGAAATGATTATCCCGATTCTTTTGATATGTTAAAAACATTTGATGAAGATAAGCAAAACTCATTAGAGTAATTAAAAAATTGTCAACATAGGCATAACACAACAAATGGCTAATCCTTATTGGGTGTTAAGTATTTGTACATTAATTACATTAACTTGCATATTTTACTTAGATTAGTCTATTGTGTTCATCTATTATCTCTTTATTAGAAAGAAAAATCTTGACATCCACCAGCCAAAGAAATTGTTTTAAATTGGAGATGTTTCTTTGAATGAGGTTTCTAAGCCATTCCTGATATTAACATGAGTGTCGACATTATTGGAATCTAACTAAACTGTCAGATGATACCTGAAGGTTTCCTTTCAAAGCTATTAAAAGAAAATTCTTTATAATTAAATATTTCAAAAAACGTTTATTTTTCATCTGCAATTAACGAACAGTCTAGGAAGCTTATAATATGCAGGTTTAGAAAATAGTCTATTCCAAGAGAAAACATATTTAGGTATTATAAAAGGGAATGATAGAATTATTTCAGTATACACTGTATAATTATAACGCTTGTATTAGACTTTCATATCACCTGACAGAATTCAGTGCTAGTGGAAGAGATAAGGATATGACAAAAAGTGAAGGCTGAGAATGAATAGGCCTTCAAGGGAGCTGGTCTTTCTCTGATCTGATAAACATCTCCCATTCTCTATTTCTGTTTCTTTCTTTTCTTCTTCATCTTCTTCATCTCTTCCTTTTTTTTTTTCCTTACAGATCACTGCATATCAAAAGCCTTTTCTTTGATTAGCAGTGTTCTCTCAGGAACTGAGGGCAAGACCAACGTAAAGACTGCTCCTCAGCTGATATATGATTTTTTGTGCTGTTTTGTTTTTTGTCTTCAGTGATTTCCAAAATTTTGCTGGGAAATTTTACATTAGCCTGAAATAGTTTTCTACCAGTGTTTCTGGTTTTGGTACTCTTGTATCTTTATATATTCTCTGAATGGTGACGTTAACATTTTTAATGGGTTAAATGGAGACTTGTTTGGTTTTGTAGTCTGAGTATAAGCTTTAGAGTCAGAAGGCTTAAAGTCATTTTGTTAAACTTATGAGTCCTCAAAATAGTCTTGAAATGATTTTTTGTTTTAAATGCTTAAACCAATAGGTAGGTAGGGATGTATATATTAGTAATACATCCATAACATTGTATATATACTTATCATTCTATACCCAAGGAATTTTCATATAACGTATGCTGTATCATTTATGATAAAGCCATTTAATGAATCTATCTGACTTATCTTAATAAGAGCAGAATTGTTTCTATCTTCTCTCAAGGGTATTTATGCTGAGTTGAGTCTTTTGTATCTGTCTATACTTGGTCTGGTTTTAATGTTTGATACTAGATTAAACTGTACTATAAATTAAATGAGAAAAAACACATTTTCCTTATTCTGAATTAAGTTATTGTTACAGGATGGCACTGTGGCCATAACTGTAGTTATATACTGAGCAAATGTTCACATTTTATTAGGTAGGAATTTTATCAGTCTTAACACAATTTGCCCATGGCATTTAGCTGTAGATCATTGGCCTTAAAACTAAAATGTCACTTGAACAGAATAGCAGTTAATTAAGGACTTGAAGTGTCCAGAAGACATGTCAGTTTTCTCCAAGTCATGGCTAGCTGGTCTTTTGCCACAGGAAAGAGCACCGTCATTAACTATTGGTCCCCAAGACACTCTGTAAATGTAAAGTTCAGTCTTATGTTTTATCATGAAATTTACTAGATGAAAAATATTTCATTAAGTTTTGCATGAGCAAAGTAGTGCATTTTCATGATTATGTATTTATAGATTTCTAAGCTGGGGATATAAAATTTAGCAACTTTTAAGCGTCAAACCAATCTTTCAAAATACCTTTTTTTCTTATACATAACTACATTGTTAAGTTTCTAGAACCATTTTAGAATCTTGCAATAAATGACATTCCTTCATAAAATGAGTGTTTAAAAATATATATTTTTTATATTTTTTATTGATTTTATATTGATATATATATATATCAATAAGGGAATATATATCAGTAAAGAAATAAAGCTGACTTGGTCTCTCCTCCTAGGAGAATTGTCTTTTGGAAGTTTGTTGCCATTGTTCATCCCTTTTAATTTTTTTTCTAGAAATAATTAACTGACAATGACTGTCATTATAGCTTATAAACATAGATTATATTCATATCATAAGGCATGTGATTCAGGGTCAGATCAATTAAGTTGTACTTTCTTATGCTCTCCAGCATAGAGAACAATGCGGTAGTTAGAGCTGGAGCTTTGAAAAGCATGTTATGGCTCTGTGGGTGAGAATGTCCTCTAGTGTGTTTTGTCTGTGGGAATGGCGACCTCCTTCTGTGTTTTGTGCAAGGAAAAATCTTAACATTCCTTTCTAAGACATAAAGACATTTTAGAGTTCTAATCTTTCTTAGTCAAAAAACTTATTTAACTTATGTAAGTTTTACCCAGTGCTTTGTTTAAATTCTCAAAATGTTCATTATTCATCCTATACATATGAACATTTAGCTCTTCGTGTATTGCCTATTAAAAATGAAGACCTGTATTCTGAATTTTGTCAAGAATATGCCTTCTGGGGGTACCTGGGTGGCTCAGTGGGTTAAGCCTCTGCCTTCGGCTCAGGTCATGATCTCAGAGTCCTGGGATCAAGCCCCATGTCGGACTCTCTGCCAGCGGGGAACCTGCTTCCTCCTCTCTCTCCCTGCCTGCCTCTCTGCCTACTTGTGATCTCTCTCTGTCTAATAAATAAATAAAATCTTAAAAAAAAATAATATGCCTTCTGGTTTATTTTCTCATTTTGTCTTTTCTTTATCTTCCCATCCTAAAGTTTTCCTACAGAGACATTGCTTCCATTTCTGCCCAATTTTTATTAACTTTCTGCAACATTTTCAAACTGAATTTAAATTTTCAGAAGTATTGTATTTTTTTGTTTGTTTTAAAGATTATTTATTTATTTGACAGAGAGAGAGAGAGAGAGAGACATGCAACAATAGAGGGACACAAGCAGAGAGAGAGAGACGAGAGAATCTTAAGCAGGCTCTATGCTCAGTGTGGAGCCTGACATGGGGCTGGATCTCATGAGCCTGAGATCATGACCTGAGCTGAAATCAAGAGTTGGGTGCTTAACCAGCTGAGCCACCCAGGTGCTCCTACTACCTCTTCTTTTAATCCATGTTTGCGTACTGGCTGATAAACTGAAACCATTGTCATTTTAAGCACACTGGAGAAGTTTTCTTTTAAATTCAGCTTAGGAATTCCTAACTGTAGATCTCCCATTTGGCAGTATTTTATAGTTATCAGTAATACCTACTTAATAGCTTCATAAGTGAACTGATCATAGTATTACATAACAGGGCCTCCACATCAGTAACTAATATAAAAACTGGCATAAAGATATGTTTCCGTTATCAAGTACAGTCTAGACTCCTTTGGAAGAGCCCTCACTGAGTTGTAGTTCACAGTCAAAGATCAAAATGTGAACCAGTAATCCATTACAAGATTTATACTTTTTTAAAACCTAAGCCTGATTATTTGTTTCTTAAGAATGAGTTTAATATTTATATTTACTATATTTACCGTTCTGTTCTTCCTCTTTCTGCCGTCGTCTCCTAGCTGTGCTTGGGGGCAGGCTACCGCTGAACTTAACATTGAGTCATTTCTCAAAGGGACATGGAGTGCAAATGGAATGAATCATAATAATCGAAGTTAGATAGCTCACATCTATGTTCCTCACTGTCAACCAGGCACTGTTCTAAGCACTGCACATAAAATCACTTACTTAATCCTTTCAGCCACCCAGGAGCCTACTTCGCTATTACTCACCTGAGAAAATTCCCAGGTTTGCCCAGCTAGTATGTGGCAGGGTTGGTATTTCAATCGAGGCGGTCTGGTTTCAGATCTTTGTTATCACTAAATGTCACTGTGTCTTGTAAAAGCTTCTCACACAGCGTGATAGTAACTCTGAGACATACAAAGAGAAAAATCTGAAAACTGTTAGAGAAAGAAAAGAAATAGAGTTTGTCTATAAAATGTGATTAGCAGACTGACAACAGACATTTTATCTCCAACTGAACTTGATGGAATAATGTTTTAAAAGTGCTAAAGGAAAAGCCGGGCTAGAAATTTTGAACTACATTAATATACAAGAGCAAGTATGACATAAGGCTGTTTTCAGATATGCAGCTTGTGACAGTTTGGTACTCACAGAGTATCTCTGGAAGAACTAATAAGAATGTACTTCAGCAAGAAGAAAATTACTTCATTTTGATGGCTTTTGGTTAAAACAAAACAAAACAAAACAAAAACCTTAATATGCTGTTAAGAAGATGCCTAGGATGGCATTGAGCCCATATTGGTCTCTCACTATCATTTCCTTTTTACGTAGATAAAAATATATGCTATGAAGGTATTTACAAATAATGGGGTTCTACCAAGATGAATATAATCTACTTATTAAAGCTTTCTCTAAAGCTGAAATGTTAGTCATTGAAAGCAGGCATTCCCGGTGTCCACATCCTCTGATGACAACAGAGGTAATAAACCATGTTATTCAGGAATAGTTGTTTATTCATACTACTTGAGTAAATACACATATATCAGCTCTAGTAGGTTAGATTACTAAATGATTGGGAATTTATGATTCAAGAAAAAGGAGTTTCTTTTGCTTTTTTATGTCCTTATAACTGATTTGAAAACCTCAGTGTTTTTTGTATTCACAAGTATATATGCATGTGGTCATTTGAATTCTAAGATATGTTGTTTCCTTTTCAGCGCTTGGCCTTGGAAGCAGAGAAGGTTCAAGCAGCCCACCAGTGGAGAGAGGATTTTGCGGTAAGGACCCTTTTTAAGCACTTGAGTGACGTTTTGTTCTTCATCCATTATGATTAGGGTGACATTTTTTTAGTGATAGAATCTTAAATGTTTTAAGACCAAAACTGTGCTATGTTTTGTTTCTCTAAAAAATTTGCTTTTGGGTAGTCAGGGCTAGTAAGTTAGTCAAAATGTTCTTGCTTATGTTCCATATTAAAATAAGTCTTTTGAAATGTTCTCCTATAATCACAGTTACTTGTAAAATTAATTACATCCAGATAGAATTACATTATTATATCTGAATCACCACTGTAGATAATGTGGATACACCAGTTGAAAAACAAGATGCATTTAACAGCTTGGGAGTTTGTAAAAAGTTTTGTGCATGTTACCATCACCTTGGTGGTGGGCAGTGTGATTGAAGTAAGAATGAATGTATTAAACTTTGTAAAATTTAATTTGCTCCACTTTAGCTGGAATCAATCTTTCTTTCACTGTGGCCTATTTTTAGAAGTTCTAACTGATACTAGCTTTTCCATATATATTTTTGATAAGCTTGTACCCTAAGAGTTACTGAGCTAATTATACAAATAGCAGAAATTCTCATCATAATGAATTTTGTTTATCCATCCATCCATCCATCCATCCATCCATCCCTCTATCCTTTAATCCATCCATTCTTCCTCCCATTTATCCATCCATCCATCCATCTTCTCTTATCTATCATCTATCTTTCCTTCTTTCTCTATGTATCCATCCACCCATCCATCTATCTATCCATCCATCTTCTTTCTTCTGTTTCTCTATCTGTGTATGCATCCATACATCTATTGATACATCTATCAATGTATCCAGTCTTTCAACTCACCAATCAATCAATCAATCAGCCAGTCTCCTTATAGTCAGAGACATAGTGAAAAAAATTTGCCCTTCATTGTTAAAATGTTTATCTTACATATTTGAAGTATTTCATTTAGAGTGAAAATCTCTCTAGTTTCTGATCATAGAAAAGTTCCATATAACTAATTTGAGGGATGTTTAAAATAGAATTAGCGTATGAGTGACAGCTTGATTGTTATTAAATTGGTTTTGTATGTTTTGGAAAACAGATGTCTCAAAATTGTGGGTAAGAAAGTTGTGCTTCAAAGAACACAATTAGGAATTAGCACTTTTACTTTGTGTTAGCATGATTATGTTGTATATCAAAGGAAAATACGCTACATGATATGATATTCACTTATAATATATGGTAATGGTTAGTCTTCCATGCCTCTGGTGTTATTTATTGTTACTGTCTTTTCCTGAGATTTATATTTATTAAACCAAATACCTAGTCTACCAGCTAGAGACTCTATTTGACTACAGTGAGTTTGTTTGGTTCTTTTACTCAGTTGGTCATATTGCCAGAGTTGGTGTCATGTAGGTACTGGCTTAGCCCATAATTGGACATAATTGGTGTCATCCATAATCTATAGAGAAAAAAATTGGTGATTAACTTAGAAACATAAGTTTGAGTATTGAGGGCTAATTTGTAGTGCATCCAATGAAGGGATTTACAAATTGTTAGTTTCTTTTAGATGAAAGGAACACAAACTTGAATTTTTTGTTGTTGTTATCTATCCACACATCTAATAGACAAAAAGTAGCCAAACTAATTTGTCCAAATAAATATCTTTTGATTAGTTAATATTAAATAAAAATAATTAGTTAATATTAAATAAAAATTGATCTTTTCCTCCCATCTCGAAAGTGTCATTGTAAAGGCAATGTGAAGACATAGTGGGTATAAAGCTAGACCTTCTATTCTGCTTAGTGTTCGGTTAGTACGATTAATGTTGTTTTAGTTTAAATTTTGAGTAATTCTTAGAACTCAAAAAATCATTAAGTTCACACAGATCAGCTTTTGTAATATATTGATTCCACTGCTGTTCATAAATTTTTCTTTGGAATTAGGTAATATTTCTCAATAGCCATTTATTAATTATAGGTCGGTTTCAGTTTCCTAAGGAGAAATAATGTGGTCAAGAATAAAGAGGCAAGCAGCGATATAGTAATGCCATTTATATCATTGGTATCATTCGTATTGTTTTGTTTAATTATTATGTTATAGCTTTCTGTTTTAAGGGTTTCTTTTCTAGATATATTGTAAATCCCTTGATATTGTCAAATGATTAACACTAAATTGACATTTGACAAAGATTTATTTCTCCTTGCAGAAGTAATGGCCAACCCTTGTCCATGATGTAAAAACTCTCAATATGTGTTGGCTGTTAACATATTCTACCATATTTTATGGCATCCGAGCCATCATCAGTTGTAAGACACCCTATCATTTATGTATTGCTAAGGAAGAAAAAAAGAAGCCAATTAAATTATGAAGCATTAGCAATTTTAAGATGTATTCTGACGTCTCAGGTGTCAAAATGTGAAAAAGTTTACTTTGAACTGTAACCCCCGTTCTCTGCTCTCTCAGTGCCTGTCCCCACCGAGTAACACTGCTAGGATCAGTCATGCAAGAGGACACATTGGTCCCACCATGACACAGAAGCTATTACTCAGTCTTACGTGGTTAAATAGAAAGTAAATGGTTTTCTCAGTAAGTATTAGGAGTTCTTAGCAAATAGTGACCACCGTGTAAGAGAATTCTTGGACAAATTCTGTTCTTAATTTCCCCCTAGATTACCTTACAATTTATTTAGGACCTATGAACATATTGATTGACATCAAAAGAGATTGTTAAAGGGAAAACAAGTTAGTCCACTTTAGAGCTCTGTCAACTCATTTCCTGAGTACCTTTCTGGAAGGATTGTGAACAATGTGCACAGAACACAAAACTGTCCCAGTTTGCACACTGAGAATTGATACTTTACATCTCATATCATGCCAGCCACATTCAGTCTTCACAACAGTCTTCATATTTCAAGAGCCCTTTGAAATATCATGTTATTATATGTTCGAAAAAGAGAATGTGAATGCAGATTGTCTAAACTCAAATATTGCAAAAAGAAGACACACTTTTTCCTTTTTTTCTGCCTGATGAACCAGATGATGCTTCAATGCATGTTATGTAGCAAGAGTCAACAAATCCTTCAACGCCATAAAACAAATCAAACTTAAATTTTTGTCTAGAAACTAGAAATAATCAACATTAAATCTCCTCTTCTTTTAGGAGACCACCCAAAATAATTGCAAATTTTATCACTACTTTACCCAAATATCTAAAAATGTTTAATTTGAAGGTAGATGCTACCAGATTCCAAAAGGCCCTCTTTTTAAATTTTATAATCCCTTTGTCTTTTAAGATATTTAACTCTTTGTATCACTGTGACAATTCTTTAATGCCACCCATTAGTAATTTAACAGTAGGGTGATTTAGAAGGCAGGAATCATTTCCTAAGAGGTATGTTAACATTTTCCAAAGATACAATTGTCTGATTCTTCCTTCCAGTGTAAGTAGGCAAAATTCATTCATATTACTTGGGCAAAATGTTGATTAACATTTCCTATTCTTTAATGTAGTGAAATCTCAGGAACAACAAGAACAAAAGGCAGAGCGCTAAAATGCTGAAAATGTTGGCAACCAGAAAAGGCCCCTGTTGTAATTCACACTCTCCCTCCGCGCCACTCAGTTCCCAATTGAATGTACAATTGAGCTAACAAAGGGCATACACTCTAAATGGATTAAGATTTATGCGGTCATGCATTTACAAGTTCAAACTAATATTTGTAAATAAGCTGTATCTACCAGCTGCCTTTCAGGTCTCCACGCAAATTACGGGTGTTAAAGGTGACATTTTATGTCACTTATGATGGACAAATTATTAAGGACAGGTGGGAAAAGAAAAAAGAGAGCTTAGAAAACTAATTGTTCTGCATGCAATAATTGCTTTTATTTCTACCGAACGGATCTTTTCCAGTTGCATTTGAAATCTCATTTGATTACTTTGCCATGGTTGGTTAACTTAAGCAATTTTGTTTCCAACTAAGCCTGCGATATTAATTGTACTTACACATGTATAAACATAAGGGGTGCCTAATTTGTATTTTAATAAGTAGGATCTTTATGTATGGCTTATTAGCATCAGCTTGTTACTTTGCAGACTGAGTACAGATGCCTAGAAATTGGCCAGTAAATAAAACATTTGAGGAGCCTTTTTTAGCTTCAGCTCTACAGAGAAACTAAATTAGAAGGTGAAAATTTTTTCTGGTGAAGCTGAATGTTATTGAGTGTCAATCATGCTAACTTGGTTCTCCTAATTTAGCGTTATTTTTGTGTCTTAAAAAAATCATTTTGCTCAAATTGCATTTTGAAATGTTGTTTTAAGAGTTTTGTGTTTATAGGAGTTAAATTAATAGGTATGGGTGTTAGGTATTTAATTATTTCATCTGTCTTACTTATTTCATGGAACTGCATCTCTTCTGTTGATTGAGGCACAAACATTTGTGAATATGTAAACTGTAAAAATATCATATTTAATTTGGTTATATCATATCAAGGTCAACATTGTTCTAAGTTATAAATTGGTATAGGTTCTAGATGTGGTAGAGCTGTTTTCAGGAATAAAATGTGGAGAAGTGGCATGCTATAGTAGTGAATAAATGAATTAAATGAATGAACTTGGTAGATTACCAAAATAATTTTGGGCTCTAGATGGATTAATTTTTTTGTTTTGTTTTGTGTGTTTTTGTATTTGTGTGTTTTGTTCTTGTTGTTTTTGTTGTTTTAGTTTCTTCCTTTGGTGGAATTGCCCTGTTGGAAAATATAAAATATTTTAATATATTTTTGCTACATGTCTTCCACTTTTTTACTGTTGCTTTCTTTTAAGAGTCTTGTCCATCTATTCTTGTTATGAAGATAGATGCAAAGGAGCCACAGAGCAAAACTGATTTCCTCCTCAGATTCTGGACAACCAATTTCATGGGAAAGAGGCATATTTGTGATGCCTTACTCTTTTTGTTTATGTGTATATATGAATGTCCATAGTTAGAGCATTATAATATAGCAGAGTTGAAAATATAAC